ATGTTAATATATAATAAGTTATATTTATCAAATTATTAGTTTATCTATAAATATATTAATATTATTATTGATATAATTTATCAGTAATATTATAAAAATAATAATATATAAATTTTATTTATTTAGTAACAATAAATATATCAAATGAAAGGCAAAATTGAGACAAACTCAAGAAGCATTAAGTTCCTTCACTTAAATGAGGGTAACATAATCACTAAAAGTGAACCTCTATTCACTTTGGCTGCTTGAGAGAGCAAATATCGAAACACCACTAAAAACAACCACAAGTGTCATTTAAGGGAGCCACTCCTGACTATTCGGGAGAACTAATGTCGCAAGCATCATTAGAAGGATCTCAATGCAAAAAGAAAGTACATTTGTACACAGAACATAGAAGGTAGATTTGAGAGAGCAAAATTCAGAGTCTTTTAGGATCTTCTTCCTTTCCCATTGTGCGGTTCCATAAGCCATGATAGGCTAATTCATTTTTTTATTGGGATTTGACGAAGCTAACTCTTAATTCATGTGATTTCTTGAGTTTTTATTTAATAAAATTTTTATTCAATTATTTGTTTTCCTCTTAATGTTTGTTCTTGGTTGGATTGCTTATTTCATGATCCCATAAAATAAATTAAGGTTGAGAAACCCTTTCAAAGTTACAATTTGGAGAATAACAATAATAACACTTATTATTATGAATATGATAGGAATTATTAGTTAATATTTTTAAATTTTCAATCTTAATGGTGGTTGCTTAATTTACTTCACAGAGAAATTGAGATTTTTATTAAGGAACCTATAATTTATCTCCTAATGGATTAGGATTAAAATACTTTTGTTAATTGTAATATTCCAAGTTTTCTAAAATTATTAAAATAATATTCTAATTAAATAAATAAGTTTTATAATTATCTTAAAGATTTTTTTAAATGACTATGATTATTTTTATTAACTAAAGAAATATTTATAAAATAATTTGTTATAGAGATATAATTATATTTTATTTAATGTATTTTGATTAGATATTATAGTTTTGATTATTTTAGAGGTTTTATAGATAAGAAAAATAAATATTTTGAAATTACATTATTCAAAGAGATATTATCTTATGTATTTAAAAGAAAATAAATATTTTAAAATTATTTATTTGAAGAAATATTATGTTATGTATTTATATATAAGATTTTGAATTGATTAATTAGACTAGTATTATATTTTGAGTGATATTTTGAAATAATAATAGTTATTATTTACTTATTTTTAAAATAGTGAGAAATGATTAATTAGGGTAATAATATATTTTGAAAGATATTTTAAGATAATAGTTTATTTATCTATTATTTCAAAGATATATTCTTGATTGAATTGATTTTATAATTGCGAGAAATAATTAGAGGGTAATTGGCCCCTAATTCCTTCTTTATTGCTTATATTATATGAAGGGGATTTTTCCAATTGATTACATTATGTATTTTTTTGTCTTTCATATTATTCCTTATTATTCTATTTGATATTATATAGTTGTATTTGCCTCCAATTCCATGATTAAACATGTAATTGTGAAGTTTGAATTATCTATGGGTTCCCATGGGAATCCTAAATGATTATTATGTGAGTAGTTAATAGAGGTATATAATTAGAATGTGAAATTGATGTTGTATTTGAGTAATTAATGGTATAATAGAGTAACATTAAACTTTAATCTATATTTTTACCAACTGGATTGGGAGAAAAGAGTTTGGATGTGAATGGTGCCTTATTTTGAAAATTCTGGTATGAATATACTTTGGTATTTATATGATTTCTCTATGTGTGATTAATAAAATTGAGTTTTAATTGTTGGGTTAGAAAGTGGACATTTAATTTGGGGCTACAGTTTAGACTCAAGAATCACATAAAAATGTTAAGAAATGATCAAGTTATGCGAGTTAAAAGATGAACCTTATATTTTATACGTGAAAACATGCATAAATTGTAAGCCTTTCAAGCAGATTTAAATGGTAGAACTAGGTTTTGTAATCTTCATAAAAATTGTTTCCTAAATCAAATTATGATCAAATTAGTAAGTAAAGATCAAATTAGTGAATAAAAGTCAAACTGTCAAATTTATTTTGAAATGTTGTGGTTTTGGTATTTTTTAAATTAAAATAGTAAATAGTATAATTAACTCTTAAGGTTAACATAAAATATGAAGATAATTGTCTTAACTTTCTAAAAAAGTTAAGATCAACTTGATAACATATATATATAGCTCTAGATAAGGGAGTTGGGTCACTCAATATCTTAGAAAATTAAGTTATGAAAATGTAATTTGTGAATAGTAATGATCAATAACTTTATATTTTAAGTATTTGATCTTATAAATAATTTGATATATTCACATCAATGTCTAGAAAAGAAAAATCCAGGAAGAAATTAAATAAATAACCCATTCCATATGCGTTTCTATTTCCTTTTGTGCTTGCTTATTCTTTTCGTTTTGTGAGAAACCCCTAGCTAGATCCCCTCTATAATAGTAATATATTTGATCATCACTCTAAAATCCACCTAATTTATGCCCTTGATTTTGTTTTGGGTATATTTTATTCCCCAATGGATCAATGATCAATCTATTAACTATACTTTATTAACTACCATTACACCATTCAAGCGTTGACTTGCTACAAAGACTAATATAAAGATTCCAAGATTGGTGATAAGCTAGCAAATTAAACTCCGGCAACCATCAAAAACTTGACAAAGAGAGGTATTTTCCATTTCAGATCAAGAGAAGATATCATCAGTGACTAAAAGAAAATGAAGCAGAACATGATGGCTCTTCTGATTGGAACAATAGGTGCTGCACTCACCTTATTGTCTTACTCACAAACCTTCATATCACCAAATCAATGCATCACACTTGGCCTTATTGTCCTCATGTTGGGCTTGCTTGTGGGAGAAGGTCTCATATCTTTCTAATCCTTTCTTCAATTTCTTTAATTTGAGAACTTTTTCTAGTCTTAATTTTTATCCATATTTTGATTGCAAAATTAAGTCTTAGTCTATGAAGGGTTGAAGGAAAAGTATTGTAATTTCTTAGCAGCAATAGATATTTCTTTCTTTTATATTGGCAAGTAATGTAATTTCTGAGCAACAATACAGGTTTCTTTCTATAAATTTTGTCCTCAAATATGTATGTTGAGAATTGTATTATATAGCCTTTTATTAGAAATTGAGTGCTGCAGCTGGTCAAACACTACTAAAAGCCCATTAGAATTCAGAAAAGATAACATTTTTTTTATTCTGTTTTATCATGGTTACAGCCCATTTATATGTATGTAGTTAATTAATTCTTTGTTTCGGCATACAGACTCCAAATCCAAGAAGATTAGGCTAGGGAAGTATTTTGCAGTACAAAGTAAAATTTGGGAGAAAAAATTAAAAAAGAAAATGTTAGGACCTTATACTTAAGTAATTAAAAGTAGAAAATTTTCTAGAAAAGTGTTACTCATATATCTGTGCACCTAGACTTTCAATACAACCCACTATGATTTCTAGTAACAAAAAACTATTGATTTTTCTTAAGGTAGGACCCATAAAAATATTATTCTTCCGTTTTGCAAGAAAAATGAAAAGGGAAAATAAGTTTGAGAATGTCCCCAAAAAATAATTAGTTTTAACCTTTCTCCATGTGATAGCATTGATTACAACTCAAGAATGCCATGTCCAAACAGTTTACATTAAATTTATGTGTGGTCATAACTGTATGAAGTGTATGGTTGTGAACCCTGCTTTCACTTCTAAAAATAGAAGTGTTTCCTCAATGATTTTGAGGGAACTATACCTCGATTCAATACATAACAACGGTTGAATTCAAATTATGTATGGTATAACCGATACTACGCCAGTAAAATGTGACATAATTTATAGATAAAACTTTGTTTCTTAGAATTTTGTCAAAGTTCAATTTCTTATCTATGTTAGGTGTATATGAAAAAACATGTTTTGTAAGTGAATAATTATGAGCTAGTTCAATTTTCCTGATTATTATTTGTTCTCAAGTTTTAAGGGTATGCAAACGCCTTGTAGTCGTGGACTTTTGGTTGTGGCACAAAACCATAGAGGTTGTTCTTTGCAATTGTATTCAGATCTTGATCATGCCTTAAGATGAAATTAATATGCCTAATAATTTTATAGCGCAGCAAAAGAGAAACAATGAAAAATGGTGGATGGAAACTTATTAAAACATCACAAGAATAGTTCAATTTCCAAGAGCTTACATATAACTATGGCTATTACCACAAGGGAAATGTGAAGACCTATAATTGAAGAAACGTTCATTCATTTAGAGCCAAGTTAACTAACATCTAGAACAAAACATTGCAGAGGGAACTAGAAAAAGTTTCTTTTCCTTGCTATGTATATACAATATCCTTAATACATAGTGTCACAACATGACCCCTAAAGAAAAATCCAAATACAAGTGAGCTAAATTTTCTCAAGAGAAAAAATAGATATCCCATAATTACACTAAGCTGATTTTTAAGATTTGAAGCAACAATAAGTCAGAACTACATTAGCCTCTTGAAGCATTGATGCACAAGCTGAGGGAAATTTGACATGCACCAATTGAATCTTGATACCTGCAAAACCCATCAAGTTAAACCAAAGCAACCGATCAGTCACCCTTAATTAATTGAGTTCCTAGCTGCACCATAGTTTATGCACATTCCTCATTGTTATGCTACATATTGTTTTCAGCTAGCACTTGTGCACTCACATTGGTTATGTCCAATAATGTGCATGGCTATATCATCAAAAAATCTAGCATGAGAGAAGGAGGCCTTTATGTAGCCAGAGACGACTTGCCGGACAACTAGTTACATATTACTTATGCATAATATGAGCATTGGAACATGAGAGTTTCTATGGTATAATAACTAGAAAAATCTAAAAAGAAGTTGGTACCGTAAACTTTTAGGTCAATAGTTAAATGAGAGAGGAAGTCAAAGAGACTTGCTCAGTAAAAATACTGAGATATATTTAATTAATCTTTGATCTATGTAATTTAATAAATCTTATTTTTTAATTCCTATTGTTAAAAATATTTTATTTTAATTTGTATACATATATATTTTGTCTCTTTAAATTTCTGGCATCCATTTCCACTGAACTAAAATTTAAAGTTTATACAATAACATTAAATAAAATGATACAAAAATTGTATGTCTGGATTTAAAATAAAACATTTTTAATTATAGAGACTAAAAGTAAAATTAACATGCTAGATGAAAAGAAGTCAATTTATAACACTTTGTAAATTATATTCATAAAAAAAAGGTAAAATTAATAAAATTATAAAATAAAAAATAAAAATAAAAACAAATAAATAAAAAAAAGGATTATTAAACAAAATACCAAAATCCTTAAATTCTTCAGGTACCATAGAAATTCTCTCGGAACACAAAATGATGATTTGGTCTTCACAATGCCAAAGAAGGTTGCCGGCAAGTCATCCTTGGCTGCATTAAATGACCTCTTTCCCACATGCAAGACACTAGATGAATATATTATTTGAATAAGCATAAGCACAAATATGCTCATGAATGTATCAATATTCCTGCAGAAAACAAGGTAGACAATTAATCAAGTTAGTGTAACAATCAACATGGAGCCATGCATCACTGCCCTAAAAGACTGTTGGATTAATATCTTTTTTCCCCCAAATGAGGAAGACAACATTTGCTTCTAGAATGAGGAGAAAAGACCCTTCTATTTGACAAAAGAAACAAACAAAGCATGCATGACTCTAACTGGTAGAGAAGAAGAAGGCTATTGGACTTGAAGGCCTTTCTTGGCAGGAAACAGACGAATGGGGTTTTGAATCACAGAAAGGGTGTGATGAGAATATAAAGAAATTGCTTAAGATGCCACATGACATGGCATGCCAGCTCAAAGCATTAATAGCCCTAGCATTCCTGCAGAGGGGGAAGCTCTATAACTGTCCTATTGCTGTCCTTTATCTAAAGGAAAATAAGGAAAAGATGAGTATTCTGGAGGATTCTTATTGCTAGATGTGACTTTGCATGGGGTGAAAAAACCAAGGAATGTGATGACAACTTTATTAGATGCATCCCCACCCTTCAACCCTAGTTTTGTGTAGCTTCTGCTCGGATCATCCCTCTATTGGTCATTTAAGAGAACATTAAGACCTTGTTTTTGGTAAACCAATCTTGACTAGGAGAGAAACTAATTTCTTAAAATCCTCTTAAAGGACTTATATCTCCTAAAAATACTGTTCTATACCTGAGAATTAAACCTCTTGTCACATACTCAAGAAACATAGACCTTTTCAGTTCATTTTTTTTTTTTGAAAATATTTTTATGAGATAAAAATAAGAAAATTTTAAATTTTTTTTTTAATAAGTTAGCTTGTAAAACTTTTTTCTATTAATTTCTCTAAATTCTTATTTTTAACTTATTATAATTTTTAACTTATGTAGAAGTTTATTTTTATTTTTTTAATAAATACTTCTAGATAAATTTATCTAACCAGAGATAATATTTTGGTAAACGATATCACAGGAGATCAACTAAACTTTGTTCAATGAACAGCAGCTACTTGAACTTGTACTATTAATTAAGTTGAAAAGAGTTTTGCACATTGTGTTAGGTGTATCTATTTACTACATTTGGCCCAAACATGTACGGCCTAAATGTTCTGGCATATGTGTGAATTTTACCTTCAAAAAAGCATAGGAATCCCTGTCCTCAAATTTAGAAACTCAGGTTCTCCAGCAGTTTTTACTAATCTTTTTTTCTTTTATTCATGTTATTTATACAAACTATTATCCATTTTCTCGATAACTAATTTTTTTGAATCCATGAAACATATACCAAAAATTCACGTCGCTCCCATTCTTTCAGTGGAATGCTCTTAAATTAAACTTCACACAATCAAAATTGCTCCACGTTTAACAGAATACTAATTATATTTCTAAATAAAATGCTAATATTTTTTGATACATCAGATGCTGATATATTATGGGTAATTTTGACATTTAAACAAGTGGCGCGTACACAAGGAAGCCTATTCCCTGAAATTATGACAAGTTCGACGTCTCTACCGCCATCCCGCCTAACGATTGCATTCCCTAAACCATTCTCACCACCGGCTTTCTTGGTATATTCACCCATTAAGGTTGTTAAGGCAACGACACAGTCTTGGCCTTCTTCTTATTCTTTGTCCTTTGCAAAGACTGAGAATTAGAAAAAACAAAACCCTCAAAAAAATAAAAAGACTAGTCTACATTTTCAAAATCTTAGTCACAAAAAATTTATCGATTAAATATTTCACCTATTTATTATTTTACTATTATATCTATGATACTACTTGCATTACTGGACCTTTAGAGAATTCACCATTTCTTAATAACAAAGTTGGCGAAATTATGTTTACCATAAATATTAACGAACATATCAGTTAGTAAGCATGTCATTCGAGCTTTTTTCCTTTCCACTTTGCAGAAAAATCAGTTAACTTTTAACTAACGACAGCACATAAAAGTTGTACGCAGTAATGAAATAATCTAGCTAGCGTAGTTGTCTCTCTCTAGGGTAACGAGGATCATCGGTAATATTTAAATGTTGAAACTTGAAGTAAATTCATTTCTCTTT